GAGGGGGGAGGGGGCAGGAAGGGACCCAAGAAAATACTGGTTGGTCTTGGTTGGCTTCGCTCTCTTGGTAGAGTACAAAGAGGCCTGGGAAACCTCTATCGCCCTTTTCTGGAAACCTTGGGAGGGCGTAAAAAGTCAGCGCGACAGCCCGGAGGACAAGCCTGCGCCCCTGCTCCGCGACGCACGCCCCCCCATCCCACTGCCTCCCCTCTTCGCGCACGCAGCGTAACTCGGGGAGCGGTTCCAAGCAGATTTCTTCTCCCCAGGGTTCACTGTGGCCTAAACGTGCAGCGCCCCCGGTACCGGCGCCTTCCCCGAGCAAAAGTTACCGAGTCCCGGCGAGCCTGGCCCAAGGCTCCTGGCGGCGCGGACGCCTGGGCGGCGGCTCCCGCGGCCCGAGCCTCCCGGTACCTGCCCAGCCGCCCCGGCGACCGGCGACCGGCGACCGCTCGGGCAGGGGCATCTACGAGGTCCGAGGGGAGCCACCCACACAAAGGCGCCCTGTGCCTCCAGCTCCAGGACGGGCAGCCGGCGCTCCGGGCACCGCACCCAGGCAGGGCAGAGAGGGCGCCCCCCGGTCCCGACACCGGCACCCCCAACACTCACCCTCAACCGAAAGGCCATCCCTACTCCCCGGTTGAAAGATGGGGCTCCCCTAGGCTTGCCACAACCCACACCCCCGCAGGAGAGCGAGGGGCGCACAGGCCACTCTGAAGTTTGCATTGTCGGCGCGGCGCTCTCAGCTGCAGAAGGGACTGCGCACCCCCTGTCCCGGCTCCCCCGCCGGCCCGGCCGCTCACCTCGAGTCCAGTCCACCACTTGTTTGGGGCTCCACTTGGTCACGGGCTCCATGGTCAAAGGGTCGCTCCCAGCTGGGCTGGAGTCGGCGGTGAAGTCCTGCTGCCCGCGTCCGCTGTCCTTCCCAGGAGGGCGCGCCCCGCGACTGTCCCGCGCCCCGTCAAGGCTGCATGGCCGCGGTCAGCGGGTCATCGCAGCGCGGCCCTCT